GGGTAGTCAACTACTCCACACAATTTGGGCATTTCTATGCCTCAACTATCACAGGTAGTCTACTATACATTTTACAATAATCAACTATATCACATAGTTTAGCATTTCATGCCTCGGATGCCACAAGTAGTCAATTATACTATTTTGGGTAGTTGACTATACTATAGAGCCTGGGCAATTTATGTCTTTACTGTTAAGATTAGTCGATTATATGACTTTGGCTAGTTGACTATTGATAACCCAACACTTAAAAACTTTAAAAACATTTGTCTAAAGGTTTGGGGATTCTCCCTTTAATTTACATTTCAATATTGATTTTTCAAGAATCTAAAACTTATTTAAATCCAAGAAATCCTAAGAATCGAATCTATTCTAGCCATTGATCTCTAAGGTTGACTTAACCAAATTTAGTCTTATTAAGCATCATAAAAAGTACATTTCAATCAACTAATTACATCAAGAATATAAAAATATGACTTTTAAACCAAGACTTGATGTAGGCTTCCTCCATGTTGAGTTATTGTAGCATAGATCCTCTTGAGCAACTCCAAAGCCTTTGAAGCTTTTTGTAGCCTTTCTGTGCTTGAATTTCTTTGGAGCATCCTCATTGAAGAGATTGGAGATAGTATTGAAAATGTAAAGCTCAGATAGTTGAATCAAGCAATGCTTCCATTTCTTTTTATTATTAGTAAGTTTGCTTAACACAATCATGGCTTAGAGAAATTTACTTAGTTTAGCTGCAAACTTAGCACACTATTAGTATTATTATTATTTAATTATGACATCAAGGGTTGACACATTTAATCCAAAAGATTGAATTGTTTTGACTTACCACCAAATACGAAAACAAAAATTCAAATTACACTTCCATCCTTAGAGTTAGCGAGGGACCAAATTAAAATAGGGTATTTTAGACAAACAAAAGTTCCACACTCTCATTCACACTTTTAATGGTAGTATAGATTAATGGGTGTGGGTCTTAGTCTTCTTTTAAGTGTTTATTAGTATTGCTGTCTTCTTGTAATTTTACATTTATTTATGATTAAAACTAATAAAAAACACGATTAAGGGAGCTGGGAGACTGTTTGATTCTCTTCTTCTAATACCCCATTTCTCTCTCTCAACTCTTTTCTAGTGGTCTGAATTTTTTTACACCTACCTGTTTTCTCTGTTGTTTTCTATAATTCTTTGACTAGGGTGACCCATGTTCAGATCTCTCTTCCTATTGAAATATATAAAATACTTCACTCTCATGCATCCATATATTAAGTATTCTCTGTCAACAAAGTCTGTCATTTTATGATCAATCCTACCTCTAAACATTTGGGAGCAGTGAAGTGTATCTTAAGATACTTGAAGACCACCCTACATTATTGTCTTTGTACTGTTGTTTCTTCTTTTTCTCTACACCGTCATTCCTTTTTGACACCAACTAGGCTGGTTGCCCTGATGGGAATTGTGTTTGTTTTGTTTTCTTTGGCCCTGACCTAGTTTGTTGGTCTTCTCGAAAACAAATTAACCATGATGTCAAATTCAATTGGAGCACAGAGTGAATATAGCTAGAAGTTTAGCTTGTGCCATATTTGAACTAATTTGGCTTCAATCTTTGCTTCATGAGCTACATTTAGATATCTCCTCTCCAATTTTGTGGTGTGATAACCTTGATGCAATCGTTTTTTAGTGCAAATCCATGCAGTTTTAACTCTTGCATTAAACACATTGAATTTGATTTTCATTTTTCTTTTGCAAGAGCGCAAGCAGCAAAGAAATATCTCATTGTTATCAGTTCATTTCTAACTATATATGATAACCATTGAGCAAGTTGATGGTGCATCCCTCTCCCATCAACTTGAGGGCCGTGGACTGACAAAGGTAATCCATGTCATACGAATGATAAACAGTTATCAAGAGAGAGAGAACTACGATAGAGATCTCACTCAACAGAACTCATCCAACTCCTAACAAATAAGTTTTGGTTGTGTTAGTTTTTATCTTTTTTACTTTCATGCTCATCTTGTATATGTAAATTAATACAAACATGATAACTGTACAAACAAAGAATAAAAAAACAAAGTGAACTCACTTGGATGTCTTGTATGCAATTAAGAGAGAATTCTACAAATCGTTTCATCATTAATTGCAGTGCAGATATGTTGTTGTTGAATTGCATATGGAGTAACCTTCATGCATAAATTCTGTTAACTTTGGAAGTGATCAGTAAGGTAAAACTCAATAAAAGTCTTAATCCTTAAAAGTAAGGGAAATATGAGTTTTCGAACATTTGCTTAGAGTACTTTAAAGAATTAATAATTACAAATACATTTTCTCCTTAGATTGTTAAAATTGGAACACAGAACCATGTCTACTCTAACATCCAAAGGACCTAGATCTACATCATAAAAGTCCTCCCATATCTTGTTTTTTGAGTCTAGCTAGAAAATACAAGGGGATCAGAGACTTCTTGATCTCCTTGGGAAAGTTCTCAAATTTGGAGACATACACCATTTCCTAGTAGTATAACTCCTACCCATCAAGTAGAAAGTGCAGCTCATAGCAACACAGAATGCATACACTGTTTGACAGATGAAGGTCGATCCCTAGCTACAAATACAGAAGTTTCAGACAGATAATGTGAACAAATAACCAAGTTCATCAACAAGCCCCCTTTGGGTATCTTATATCCTTTCTCACCCTTGTCCCCCAGTTTTGAAAGAAGGTAAAAATTGCCAAAAATCCCAACTATGAATATAACAAAGCCTTCGTACTTGAGATCAAGCAATGTCAGGCCTTGTGTAAAGAGCTGCGCATATATATATATATATAATGGTTGCTGTAGAGGAGAAATAGCCAAATGAGATGATGATGATGGGAGCTGAGAAACATCGATCAATCCCTCCAATATGTTTGTGAATAAACAGAACCTAAAGAGAAAAAAAAAATCAATTAGTATTTTAATAATTAATCAATTGGGTCATCAATTCAATAGAAAGATCTAAATACTATCTTGGAATGGGCACAAAATGGCAAGTCTGTTAAGAGTCAAATTGGATGAATTAGAACTTAATTATTTTGGATAATCCCAATCATCCAAAATTACACAAAAAGCAGGTCTGTGGCCTGCAAGATTACAGAAGGCCTGTGCGCCATGTCTATCATATCTCCATCTACTGTAATTTACTATAAAAGTCCATAAGAGTTTTTTTTTTTTTGTTTTAGAGAAAGCCATAGGAGTGTAATAGATTCAGGTGAGTCTAAATGAGATCATTATAGTACCCTTTTAAGTTTCAAAAGTCGAACATTATTCCATTTTATGCAAGAGCAAGAGCTGTGTGCCAAAGTCTGGTCGACACTGTTAAAGTTGCAGACCCAGAAAATGAACTGAACATAGGTAGTCGTGCAAAATTGGCTTTGACTAAACCTAATTTCGTTTATAATAAAGCTCAGTCTGGAAAGAATATGTATTTGCACTGTACAATTTGTATTTGTACTCTTTACAATTATGTACAGTACAAATACATACAAAATACAATGTTTTGCACTCTACCTATTTGTATTGTGAGAACTGAACTGCATGACCATCTTAAACCTGGACCCCTCATCTAGGAAAAGGCCCAAGGAGACAGCAGCAAGAAAGGCGGGAGCATATATACAAGATAAACAAGCTAATTAAGCCAGTTCTGCTAGACAGTATGGCATCTTTGCCCGGTGTTTTCCTCTGAGAATTGCCCAACTTTGAGTACTGGAGGCTTTTTTTCCCTTTATTATCTCTAAGTAACCAGCCATGGCTGAAAATACCAAGCCGATCACAGACATGGACATGATGAATACAGATGGAGAAGGTGGATAAAGAAAGCCTAACAACCAAAACATATCTGGTCTAGCTGTTTCTCTGTCAATTTAATTTCTTTTGTGATTTATTAGAAATAATCTGAGAGCTTGATGATGTAGAAGGAAACCAGAGATTCTGTATGGGTAGACATTGTCATCTAGTGCATGAGGGATGATACTCTTCCATGCACATAACTTGAAATGCTTTTGGACCAAAAGTAAAACAAAACTAAAGGTAGAAAATAAGATTAAGTGTAGAAGAAGGTGAAAGAACAGAAAAGGAGGAAGTTGAGACTTGAGAGGCTAAAAGAATACTTAGTTGTAGCCTTCTCAACAAGGTATAATCGATCACTGATAAAAAGATTAAATTACAATAATACCCTCAAGGAAAAAAGATATAAGCCTAAAACCTCTCTGACCCTAACTAATATTAAGCATAATAGTCCCATAAGAATAATCCTCCCGACAAACAATAACTTATATTTCTTTTCAAACAATATGGGTTCCTCCTTTGACAATAGAGGAATGTCATTATCTTCTTCTATGCCCCCATAAATGCCACCATACACCACATAGTGTTTTATAAGTGTTTCGTTTCAACTGTTTTTTATTGAAAAACACACAAAAAAAAAAAATTATTTGATAGAGATGCAAGTCGGTTAGGCATTGAAAGGGATTTGGCTTATTATTATAATATATTTATAATGACACCTAAAAAAAAGTCAAAATTTTCAAATTTCAATGTACCACATCACCTTATTGATTGATTCAAAAAATGTTTCCTTTCCCGAATCCTGGAGCTAATCATTGCAAAAATGTTTTTTTTTTTTTGAAAAAAGGTGTGCCAAATGTAATTTTCTTACCAATTCTGTTTAATTGCTGATGTGTCATGAATGCCACGTCAGAAAAAAATGGGCACCAGTACCGTCAATGAAAGCTCACATCTGCTGTGAGCCTGCGACAACTGTCTCTGTATTTTCCAAGGGCACGATCCTCAATTGTTTCAAGTTCAAAACATCTAGTAATATGCTTTTTGGTTGGGTTGTTAGCATGTTTGTATTTCATTGGAGGGTGGCAAAAAAAAAAATGCTGTGACCATGGTCAAGGCAGATGCAAACTCTGTCAGTGCAGCGTTTCAGACAGCAATTAACTGGTTGTAGCTCACGTCTATGTACATAGAGAATCGGAAGTGCTAATTATATTTTACTGAACCAGATTGAATTTCCATGTGCTACAATTGTTCTTCCTTCACAGATAACTGAAAAAATGTGCCTTAAAGAAATGATGCTGCAGGATTTTACGCATTTCATGTCTGAGAAGTAAGCTTCATTCACTTAAGTCTGAAGTATGAACTTTAAGTTTCCTTTCTATCACTGCCATCTTCTCCATGGATCCCCAGATGCTTATTAGGCCTTTGCATGCAGGTTGGAAGCTCTATTTGATCAGTTGTTCGTCATATGTGTTTGAGAATTGAGACACTGCTATTGAGGCATTAGGAATCTGATGAACATTAAACAATAATTGCTTATAAATCATATAAATTTTGGCGATGCTTTTGAAAAGTAAATACAAATATCCAATAGAATTGACAGAACAGAAAGTAGAAGTAACATAACCAAACCCAGAGATGGTAAATATGTTTTTGAAGATGTCCATACTTCCTCTTTGAATAAGATATGAAATATCTTAGGCTGATTGTTGTTTATAGGACACAAATAAACAAATAATTTCCATCAAGAATGATAAACAATGCCTTTCTAAATTTACAGAGTTAATTCCAGGAAAACAGTCTAAACTTATACTAGCTGCTTAAGAGGCAAAACCTCTAAGTTAAGGTGCTATGTTACTGATTTGAGAGGAAATGATTGTTCTCTGATGGACTAAAACTGGAGCATGGAAAAGAAACGATGCTTAACCATCAAAATTGTGATTCTTATTTGGTCGTTAGTAATCAATTAATATTTTAATAAAGCTATTAAACACAATATATTTCAAAACAAGATACAGTCTATAGACAAACCCTTTTTGTTTTTGGCTGACCCACCGTCCAAGTACTTGGAGTACATGTATTTGTTGGATACCATGCTGATCCATTTTATCAGTTTAGATTCATAGAAATCATGTATGCATATCATTTTGAATTTCAAAGTACCTCGCATGGACTAAAGCAACTACTTTTGCTGCCTATAATTTATGCTACCCATGGAAATTAAAGACCATCCAAACCTAGCTTTCGACTAACTAATTAGAATTTTAAATAGATTTTGAAATTTTGAAAAATATAAAACTGGTTTAAAATTAAAAAAAAATTCTAGAATAAATCCTACACCTGATTGGACTTGATACAGAAATTCACAAACTTGTATTATTCATGGGCACAACTTGCTCAAACTACATCCAATTTTCCATGAGCACGATGTTGGGCCTAAATGATAGGTCATAGGACTGCAATTAACTGTTTTTTTCTTTTATGTTGATATAAAATCCTAGGAATTCGAGCAAGTTGACTTTGAAAAAATTGACGTGTAAAAAATGAAAAGAAAAGGCATGATTCATGGAAGATGGACCTCAGTCTTGGTCATGGCAAAGCTTCAAACTTCAACCATAGACATATACATTTGCAAAAGTTCTCATGATTAAAGTTTATTTATAATAAAGTAGCAATTATAAATTATTATTATTATTATTATTATTATTATTATTATTATTATTACAAAAAACAAGAAGAAAACCAATTTCCATTTCTAATAGTACCCCTGTCCCGCCGATTGTATCCAGGACCAGAAAGTAGCCTTCATTATTGAGGTCAAAGTCCCAAGTCAGGCAGGATAGAAGATCATTTGGATAATCCACTTCTTGATGAACTACCAACTCTGAGAAACAACTTGATTTTTGACTTGATATGTAACCCAGGTACAGGCTACAATCTTGACAATGAAGGAATTGGCTATAGAAAAACATTCTCCATGCAAATATGAAATACAATCAAATTGGAATTGGGCAACTAGAAACCCACAATGAGATAAGTCCCAAGAAAATTGTTAACAAGCAAAAGCAGCTGCATAGCTTAAACTCTCACATGTTCTGGTAACCATATAGCTTCATGATGTACATCCACATGGAATTAGTGAGCAGCCCTATAGTGTGAACTGCTTATTCTTTTTTTGCAGATAATTAACAATCAGGTTCTTATATCCTTAACACTCTGTCAGATAAGAACAGATAATATATGCTTCCAACATATTCACCCCCTAGTGGAGGCTATTGCCAATACATGCCCAAGAAAAACCTAGGTGAAAATGATGGGAGTACAACTAATGGGTGGCTGAAATTTAATATGAATGGAGCATCTGCAAATGAATTGAGGGAGAGTTAAGACAGTTTACCTCTCCCCTCCCTTGTACTTGATTCAAATTTTTTAATGAAAATTTCTGTTGTTGATCAAAAAAAAAAAAAAAAAAAGAATGGAGCATTAAAAGGGAATTGTCATCACAAGATAATAATTGGTAAGGATTCTGAAGGATAACAGTGATAACCGTGAACCACTGGATGCATGTTGGACCTCAGCAGTAGTCCAACTTCCCCAACACCACCAGCTTGAATTGGTAATTATCAAGACGTACAAATTGGAGGCAAGCAGTAAACTAGAGGCTGGTGCATCTTTTTACCATCCACAGTGGCATCATCTACTAACATTTAAGAATATAGAACTAACTCTATAACCAGAGAATATAACGGAATGATGTATAAAATAGCTAAATATGCAATGGCAATCATCAATAGATAACCATGGGAGAGGAACCTGTCACACTGGCTACTCATGCTCTGAGTGAGGACCAATGTTTTAATATACAGCCTACTATAATAATTTAAATCTATGAGGTCTGAAAGATCTTAAAGAGAAAGTAACAGACTGAACAAATTCTAGATAATGGAATTGAGAAAATGTTTAATGAGACACAAAATATGATGGATGGTAGAATTTTGTCTTTTATGCATAAAAAACAATAAAGCTTTTATGACGAAGGCTACAATTCATAATCATGACTTGAATACAAATGACCAATCCAGTAGTCAATATTTTCTGTTTTGGAAAGTTCTCTAGTAAAAACAAATGACAATTAAAAATGCCATGCTTACCTAAAGCACGATAAACAATAATCATATGCATCATTACAGATTCTGCTTCACAAAATATGATACCTGGATACTTATAAAAGGATGCCATGTTGGATACTTCAATTTTTAGTCTAAATTTTGTAATCCAATACAGTATCCAGCCAAGTCCCTGCCTTATCTGGGTAATAATGTCACATAAAAGTTACATGTTACTTTCTTTGCTTTTCACTCTTTTTTGTTTAGTTATTTATTTTGTTTGATTGTTGTAAATAGGACATGAGAGGTAGTTTCATCTTTTCAATAGATTTTATTAGCTCATCCCTACTAAAATCGAGAAAGGATTAGCTGAACGCAATAGCTGTTCAGCGGGCTGTGGAACCAATGATAAAACTCCACACCAATAATAAAATACATAGCACCCACAACCATTTAACCTTTCACTCTGGGCCCCATGTATTTTATCACTGGTGTGGGGCATTATCATTGATTCCACAGTCTGCTGAACAGCCATTTTATTCAGATAATCCAAATTTAATAAAATCATGCATTTGAACTTCATTTGATCTGGCTACAACTATTAATAATTTGAGATGATTATATGCAGCCTTTCTAATAAAGCTCTACTTTTTTTCTTGATAAGTTAAAGCTCTATAATGACAGTACAGTAGTGATGTACCTGTTCCATAAGGATTGAGAGATTGAATAATTTGTTCCTAAGGAGTTGGATTAAAAGAGTAGCTTTGAAAAAAATCAGAAATTCTACTATATTAGTTTGATTTAAAGACTAGTTAGGAAGGGCCATTAGAAAGTCGGTAAGAATCTTCATATTTTTTAGATATAGCCATAATTTGAATTTTAAATATAATCTATTTAGTGGGGAGAATGCTTTGTTAAATTTGGGTTAAGAACTATTCGTGCTCACAGCTAATACCAAAGAACAATTTGTGAATTTCTCCTCTACCAAAAATTCTAGGAATAGATGATGATAAAGGTAATTAACCAACTTACCATAAATTAAATATAGATGTCTGGGATCTCCAATGCTAGTGGTAGAGCTGCTTCTGATCACAAGAGTCCTGTCAAAAAAGACAAAATAAAAGCAATAATAGTGGTTCCATTGCCTAATAAAATGATATAGCTATCAAGGTGCATGGACTATAAAAGAAATATTCTGTGCTGGCCTTAGTAAGATATGGATACTTTCCATGTGTAAAACAAAGCTATCTCCAAAGGAACTTGGCAATACTAACACATAGAAAATATGAGAATGGATTAGTCATAGTACCTTGTTTTGAACTGTTCTAACACCAGAAACTTTTCCTCTTTGTGATTTGGATTTGGAACCATTGAGCTTGATTTTTATTATTGTTTTCTTTTTTCCTAAAAAATTAGCATTTCCTGCACTGTCATATTTTGGATGCTTCAGGTTCCAGGACTCCATTTCTAACTTGGACTTGCAACCAAGCTCAACACTAATCATACTTTCATTTTCTTCGTCCACAAAGCTTTCAGCTTTTATAGGTTTCTGATCTCTTTCAATTGTGCTAATAGAGTTTGTTTTTCTGTCCCTTAGTTTGGACATGCTTCCATTAAAGTTGATCTTCAATGTACGTCTCTTCTTCCCTGACAAATTAATGCTGCCTGTATTGTCATCTTTTGGGTGTTTTCCCTTCCTAAATTCCTTGATTAACTTAGGTCTGCAATCTTGCTCAGTTATAGCCATAGTTTCTTTGCCTTCATCAACAGACATTACATATTTGATGGTACCCGGATCAATAGCATGTGGCACTACAATTGGATAAGTTGTCCAATCTGTTGTGTGACTCCTATCCAGTTCCTCCAAAATGCAAGGTCTAGCTGTAGCAAAAATATCCACTAGCAAGCGCTTCTTAGGTTTCCCCTTGTGTTTCTTTCTTTTCTGCCTCAATCTCTTATTAGGAGGCATCTCCACAAGACTCTGATCAGCATGCCAGGTTGGACTTGGAGAAGTACTTGAAGAGTGAACTTTCGGAACCACATGATGGCAAGCAAGATCAAATTTTTGTCCATTTTCTCCATTAGTGTATCTACTGGCAGAAATAGATAAAAGGCAAACCCGTTTCGAAACTTCTGAAACTGCTCCATCAAGGTAGGTTTCACTCTCAAGTTTGACACTTCTTTTCTGTTCATCAATTGCTGGGAAGTATTTCTCAGAGAAACTAACATGTGTTTTTTTATCCTGACCACAATTCAAGCCCACATCTTCTCTATGTGATGGATTCCTCACTAAATCAGGAGCTTCAAATGGTGGGAGCACTCTGTTGACACCATGTTTCATACAGACTTGCAAATATTCATCAGGAAATGGCCAATTATGAGAGATATTTCTCTCACGAGCTGCAAAAACATACTCCCTGAAACATAAAACATGATGAGAAAATGATTGCTCCTTAAACAGATTATCAACCCATTTAATGTGAAAGTTGTATAAATAAATTCCATTCGAGTTCTGTTTCATGGTCCAAGAGCATTTATATGCCAGAAATAACGACTGCTGTAAAATCTAACATGAAATCATATTAAAATTGCTAACGAAGAGGCAAAGAAAAACATGAAAACCACCAAAACAGTATTGATATACACATTTATACCCAGAATAGAACATTGGACATTTAGACTAACATAAAATTATACAAACGACTAGAAGACAAAATAAATAAAGAAAGCAAACAGAGCTTGAACAAATTTAACATTCCGAACGTTCAAAAAGTTGAAAATCAATCCGAATCTAAGGATGGTTCTTCAACAACCAACAGGCTTTGAAAATATGATCATTAAACTCTAAACATATAACATTTAATGTTACGAAAAGGAAAAAGAACTCCCAAAGAACTCTAAAATTCTTTTACATGATAATCCAACCAATTAAACAGCACATCAAAAAACTAAACTTCTGATACTAGAAACCTAGGTAGAAGAACTTAATCAAGCATCTCTTTTGCATGATATCGAGTATTGTGAATATTAACCAGAACTACCCGTACGAAAATAGCCCAAACAAAGGGTTCTAACGACCAAGCTACACGCATAATCAGGTTTCAGTACATAAAGTGAAGCATGGATTCTATGTGCATGCATCCATGGTATAATCTCATCAAAGGATTGAAAGCTAGATCAAAAGCAAGGAAACCTAGAAAACTATGCCTGTATGTTACCTTATGGAGAATGGTTTGGTCATGGCGAGCTTTACATTATCATTCGTAACGATTTGTTGCTTCGACGAATTCAGGAACCCTAGCGCATTTTGCTCCCGAGAACACATTTTGGAGAACCAGTTTCTAGAAGAATCTAGACACCAACATCATCAGGGAAGACTGTTCATATATGGAAACTAAAAACCAGGTCTGACCCAACAGAAGTTGCAGTTTCTGAAATCATTCCAAGCAAACTAGCCCATAGAAACTCCATAAAATCATGATTATACAGCCCAAGAGAAGCAGAAGCAATGCGTGAAAACCCAGAAATCAGAAGAACCCATAATTCAAAACAGTGCGAAAACTCAAAAATAACTGAATCTTTTGAGGTCTATAAAAGAAGTATGAGGGCTAACAGAGTCGCAGACATGGAAAGATAGCTAAGATAGAGAAAGAGATAGATGTGGAGAGATGAAGGAATGTTGGAATTGAAGCGATTATGTAGCATGAGATGATAATAAGATCTCTGATGGCATAAAGAAGCTTGAGATTGGAGAAAGTAGTTGGGAGAAGAAGAAGAAGAAGAAGATGGCGAAGAAGATGGAAGGAATGAAGAAGCAAGGAGAAGTTGAATTGGTAATAGACTAATAGTAAATAATAATGTGACACTGGAATGCACAGAAGAGGAGCAGCTCTCTCTCCTCTCTCTGGTATGAAAACAATGCATTCAGTGGAGAAAGAAGCGACGAGTCCTTTCTCCCGTGGACCGTAGTGTTCTTTTCCTTTTGCTTTGCTTTCCTTTTCTTGTTGTTGTCTTTAATGCAAATCACAGGGGTAGAAATGTAAATCAATGGTAACAATGCAAATTATAGTTCTCATAATTGTAGGTGGATGAATTGATCCGACTGATTCTAATACATTTTTAGAGATGTATTAGAATATTTTTTTGATACGTATGAAAATATATTAATAATATTAAATATAAAAGATCAATAAAGTGTATGTATTCATACGAATTATAAATTTTAGTGGGTTTTATGAAAAATTGTATTGTAATAAATATATGGAAATACAATCAAATTTATCAAAGCATTTAACTATCATTTGTTAACATACAAATTCATAATTCTTGTTTCTAAGAGGCTACAATAAAAAAAATTAATTATCTAGCTCCCTATTCACTAGAATGAAAGTGATAGTTTTTTTTTGTATTTAATCAAATGATAATTTTCTATGGGCTGAATAAAGAGAAGACTGTTCATATGAGTTTATGGATACATCAATTTTTGTTTTTAATTAAATAGAAATCATAAAATTCTATCACCATATCATATAAAATATATCAATTTCTTTTTTATATAATTTTATCTAGTTTTCAAATTTCATTAAAAAAAATACTATGTTTAACTATTTATAAACTATAATTCTTAAATTTTAAGGGATGGGAAAAGCTTAATTATCCTATCCAACCATAAAGCATATATTGGCACAATTTCTAAGCGAATATATAATTTGTTTGGATTGATGGCCTTACCCAAGAGGGGGGGTGAATTGGGTATAACTTAAAACTTTGAATAGATTGAGTTTAAATACCTTCCCCCAAAACTGAAGCAAAGCCTTCTTGAAGATTCAAATCAAGTAACAATGAAATAAAAAATTAATTAGTGTATTCAGTAATTAATTAGAAAATTGCTCAGTGATTAACTTTATTGTTGAAAAACAAGCTACACCTTCAAACAAATAAGCAACATAAATGCAGAGATTGTAGGGGTTAACAGTTAAACAAATATCTATACTACTATAAAATGTATGAACTTTCTCATAATATTTCTGGAATTTTGGTTGGACAAAAATTACCCTTTTATGTAATATTTTCTGAAGTATAAATAAGGGCAAAACAAGTATTTCATATGTTTAATAAAACATATTTAAAGACTGAAATTAAAGACCGTAATTGCTCTTCACATGTTTAATAATCATATTTAAAAACTGAATTAAAGACTATAATTGATCAATCTGCATTGAATATTAAGCTGGATATCGCAAAGTCTTCATATTTGGGAAATACTAAAGGTTTTGGGTTCAAAGCCCTTCAATGACCAGCACATAGGAGAGGGAGCAAGTCCTAGAAAGACTTTTATTGGTGGATTAGCCAAAGACACAATCTTATCTACATTCACAAAGTATTTCAGAAAATATGGAGACATAACCGATTTAGTGGTAATGAAAGATCGATACATTGGGCAATCAAGGGGTTTTGGGTTTATTACTTATGCTAATCCATTAGTTGTTGACAAGGTTATTGAAGAGAACTATGTTATTAATGGAAAACAAGTTGAAATTAAAAGAACCATACCTAAGGTCTCTGTACAATCTAGGGATTTTAAAACAAAGAAGATTTTTGTTGGTGGGGTGCCAACAACTATCGCTAAAGACAACTTCAGAAAGTTCTCCAAGTATGGGAAGGTGGTGGATCATCAGATCATTCATGATCTTGCAACCAATCATTCTCAAGGCTTTGGATTCATTATATTTAACAGTGAACAAGTTGTAGATGATATGTTAGTCACAAGGGTAATATGATTGATATGGCAGGCACCAAGGTGAGTTTAATGAAACTGTTAAGTCGTTATGTACACCAATATGGTTTTACTTCATATTGCAACATGCAACTTCTAATTAAAAAAAAAAGTATTTTTATAACATGCTTGATAAAACCTATTTAAAGATTGAAATTAATGAAGATAATTTCTCAACATGAATGGTAATTGAAAGTGCCCAAATATCAAAGTATATTTAATATTTTACTCCTCTATCATTATAGTAAATGATGTATTACAAGTGTCTTTCTATTTCATGTACAATTGTCCTAAATTGTCATTGAATCCCGTGTTCTCAATTGGTTGTTGCATTGAATGAACAATGAGTTTTTTTTTCTTTTATTTAAGGTAAATTTCTAAAACCGCCCATGAAAATTTCGACCATTGCCTCCCTTTAAATTTGGTAATTGCAATCACTTCCCCTAAACTTTCTAGCACAGTTGTAAGTAGATCCCTTGTTAGAATCCTCTAATAATAGACACAAAAATGTTCAAAATACCAATTCAGTTATTATTGAGGATGATTTTTATGGAAAAACAATACAAACTTTATGAATAAAAGAAAAGAGTAATTGCATGGGTATTTTGGACAATTTCATGTCTCTTGTTAGAGGATTCTAATAGAGGGGGTCTACTTGCAACTGTGTTAGAAAGTTTAGAGGAGGTGATTGCAATTACCAAACAACAATTTACCCCTTTTTTTTTATAGCAATTAGTAGTGCTAAGTATTCAATTAATGTCAAGTTAACATCGAATGACCAAATCTTGGTTATAGTTTAATTGGTCATCCACCTTCTCAAAGGGACAAAAAGGTAGAAGCGGTTGTGCCAAATTGGGAAATGACATGTACACTTGTAGAATTATTCTAATCACCCATTTCTATAGCTTTCAAAAAGATCATCCATTTTTTGTATAAAATACATTACAATGACCCATTTCAATGCTTATTTGTTTCTATGAACCGACACTATCCACTCTAATTTTTGGGATATGCTTAGCTTTATAAATGTGGGATTAGGGATGATCATTTATGATTTAACTTAGCCCGACTCGACCAGCCCGACTTGCTCAATTTGCAAATTCTTAGGCCTAGGGAATCAAATTTCTCTCAAGCCTAGTCTAGATCGGACTCACATCAAGCCTGCATATAATGTAGGTAGGGTCTGGTTCAAGCAAGTCCTATGTTCGACAAACCCGACCCATCCCAAAAGTTGTATGTATATTTATAATACATACTATAATATTGGTATAATGCCTTATTTATTTGTATAGTATCTTACATTTTTTATGGTAATCATATAGTATCTTTCTTATATGGCATAGTATTTTACCAAATATATATCCATATAAATATCGTATGTATGGCATGTATATATAGCATATATGTATATATGGTGTAATATATTAATAAGAACACAATAAATTTTCAAATATATTTTATGCAAAATTTTAAGCTTATTTTCTATAATTTGATTATAAAGTTAAGTTAACTTCATTTGTTTTAAAATACGAGTCCTATAAATTCATAAAGGACAACCCAAATGCTGGGACCAAACTTGGACATGTATTATTAGGCCTAGGCAGGCCTCAAGGCTATTAACTACTTGTGAAACCTGACTTGACTCATGATCATCACTATTGATGGGTTGGGTAGGCATAGGTTTGGTCCAATCCAAACTTGACCTGAAACCCAATAAAGGCTAATCCGATCCAAACCCAATTAAGTCATTTTGCTTATTTTATTAGTGCACTCAACAAATATCAAAGTAACCCTAGAAAGGATCACTAAAGGGCTCTTAAAAAGTCTTGACATATTTATAAAGAACTAAAACTTCCATGTTCATCATAATAGATTTGATACCCTTGGGGTAATTATGTATGAATATTTAGAGTCTATCTAGCAAGTCTTTTCAGAAGATCTTTTGAGTTTTTCAAAGATTGGTAGACCACAAAACAATCATTTTCCATTTGACAATGAAAGATGAGAAACTAGAAAGACCCATGCCCCATAAAGCTTAAGGAAACCCAACATGGCTGAAAATCAAGGAGCTTCAAATTGAAGCTTCCCATCTTTATGCACTTAAAATCTTTCATTTAATAGCTTGGTAGACTACGATTGATTGAGATACTTATTACCAAACAATCTTGACATTTAAAGACATATATCTAATATTATATATTGGTCATATTAGACAAAGATAAGTGTGATAAACACTAATTATTTTTATTAATGATATAGATAAAATAGAAAATTTAAAATTGGTCTAAAAATGAAACCATATTCTTGTCTTGATGGCGAGTTAACAGTCCAACCTTTTAAACCAAATAGGATACCCTACATGTCAATTAAATAATAAATATTTAAAAAGATAGAAATAGAAAAAAATATAAAGTATATACATTTTGTAAAAAACATGAGAGTACATCTTTCATGTTTTTTTTTATGAAGGAAGGATAACAATAAGCTATAGTAATTAAGAAAATAGGGATGATGAACAAATGAAAAGCAGAGCCCTTTAAACTCAAGGTAGAAATGCATAGTTAGACAAAATGTTCTCTAAAAAGACCAAAATTTGCCAATGAGTGAGCTGCTATGTTAAATTCCCTTGGGATCCATCTCTAGGAAATCAACATATCTACAACTAGGTCCTTAGCCTGGTTGAATAGATGCTTACATGGGACCATGGAAGCTAGCCACCTAATTGTATTTGCAAAATCTCCCTCAATCATAAATGAACTTTAACCTCAGCAGTTTAGCTATTTGAATACTGGTGAGAAAGGCTAGGATCTTTACCTTCGTGGAATTTGTAGTCCAAGGTCCACTAAAAGCCCAAAAGGTTCTACCTCTAACTGGCCAAAAAAACTCCCCCTACACCAGCCAACCTGGGGTTACCCAAAGACCTACCATCAAATCTGAGAATGATGTCATCTGTGTCAAGTGTGGGTTGTCTACTAACTACTAAGAGTGTGGGGGGAAAAAGGAGATGTATGCAAGCAGTTGACAACTAGGTTCCTTTTTATATCTTCCACACTAATTCTCATGATCTTCTTACTACTAGAAGCCCAAAAATTACAACGACTCACTATATGATCAAGAATCTCCTCGAAAGATTTGCTCTTTTTCTCAAAAATGTATAGGTTGCAGTCCTCTCAAATGGTCCACATGATAGCTTG